GCGCCAGGCAGCGGTGGAAAAAGTCGGGCACTTCCCCCCCAGGCGTTCAGCAACGTCCTGGCCTCCAAGACCTCCTCGCTGAACTCCAGGTGCCCAATGGCGGCTTCAGTACCCAACCGGAGGCTGGGAGGTCGCTGAAAGAATTTGTTGACTGCGCGCATGTCCCAGACAAGATGCTGCACACTTGCTCATCAGTCGTGCCCAACATCCCCACCTCGTAGAGGGTCACCTCGAGCTCGAGTTTCTTGGACTTGCTGCTGAGTAGGGGGTCCCGTCTGGGTCTGCTTGATCTCCTCGAGGTCGACCAGGTGGGGCGGCTTCAGCATCCGCTCGCGGAAGACGGTGGAATAATAGCGAGCCCGATCCGAGTACATCAGGATGTCGCAGGGCTGCGAACCCCGCGGTGGCAAGGAGATGCGACCCCCTTGCTCCAAGCCACAACACCTGCCTTTTGGCAGGGGTCTCTCAAGCCGCCTTCTCCTTGCAGATCGCATTCTAGTATTTAGCTGGAAACCGACGCGTGCAGATCGAGCCGCTCGAAAGCGGACTTCGGACTCAGGAGGTAGAGCCCCCTTTCGTGCGCCAGACGGTGCAGTCTCCAGATCCTGCCGGCGGCCTCCCGCGGGATCGAGTCTGCCCGCTTCCAGGAGTTCGCACCGGCCCAGGACGACTGATCCTCCTCCAGCTCGGTCAAGTCCCTCTTGAACATGGACCTCAGGGTAACCAGGGCCCCGCACGTCCGCTCGTGGATCGACTTCTTCGGGGCCCAACGAGACCGCGACCGCCCCAAGTTGAGCGGGGGCCTCGCGGGATCAGGAGGGAATGGCAGCTCCAGCAGAGCGTCCCTGACTCGCGGAAGCGGAAGCGGAAGCTTCCGCTTCCGCTTCCGTTTCCGCGAGTCAGGGACCTTCTGCTGGGTGACCTGGCCTGGTCGTCAAAATCGAAGGCCGGGCCTCGAGAATGTGCAGAGACATGCGCGCAGGGCTTACTTGTCAAGCGTCTTCTGGAGCAAGGCCTTTGCGCCAACCTCTCGCGGAGTTTCTTCTCGACGCCCTCGACCAGAATATCTTCGTCGCTGCACTTCATGGGGCGGAGCTCGGAGCCCGCCAGTCGTGGGAAGTCTGCACCATCTCGAAAGCCGCTCAATCGCGTGAATGCGCCGGAAGGCAATCTCCGTCGTCTTTGAATTGATCCAGTCAGCGGGCGCCTCGACCATCTCCTGTCGATCAGCATCGCCACCATCGAGAACTCGTCTGCCAAACGGTTCCCATCCAGCTCCTTGGTCCGAGTGAAGTCCTTCGCCATCTGGACCGCAGTGCCCCCGCACCAATAGATCCTGGCGATCATGCGCGGCGTCACCCGCGTCTAGATGCACCCCGCGAGCGTCCAGGCCACCTCCTCCCTCTAGGCCTCCAGCTTCTCTTTGGCTACCGACCTCCTATCCTTGAACGAGTCCTCCAAGCCCGTCAGCAGCCCCTCGATCTCCGACGACGGGCACGTCTGACGACCACCAGGGGGCTCGGAGGTCGATGCTTCCAGGCGGTGCCAAGAGGGTGCTCCCGAGGCCTCCAACACCCTTGAGTCTCGCGTGACCAACGATCGGTGCCGATCCATGCGACGCGAGAGACGATTCATCACCTCGTCGTACTTGTCGGAGCCCGCGGCCGCTCGGGCGGGAATGGCCGCCACCGTCGGCGGGCCCGCCGCGGTGGCCTCCTTCTTCTGCTCCAGGGCCTCTAGCCGCGACGTCACCTCGGTGAGCCTCTCCAACAGCTTCTCCTCGGGGGACGGGGTCTCGTCGATGCCGCTCATCTCCAGGCCACCGTCCCTCGGCGTCGAGGCCCCCGACGACGAACGAGAGAACGGGTCGGTCAAGTGTTCCCACAGGCTCCGCGTGGTCCCCTCGGGCAAGCCAGTCGAGGAGCCTCGATCCATCACGGTCGGTGGGGTCGTTCTCCCTCGGGTGCAGCAGCAAGTCCAGATCAAGAAGAGGAGGATCCCCGCGATGATGTACACCACCTCATGCTTCCCCTCTTCGTGAAGGGTCATGATTACCTCCGCCTGCTCCTTGACGTCGTCGACGGGATCCGCGGCCTCCTTGATGTGATTGTACGACCAACTGGCCCACTCCAAGGCTCCAGTCGCCACGCATATACGCCAAGTAGCGAAGAGACCAGACGCCACGCTTCCCCATCCTCGACGCAGGAAGAAGAAGAAACAAAAGTCGGTTGTCTCGGTCACCCAGCTCACTCCCCGCCACAACATCTTCTCCCCGAACTTGCTTTCATTTTTCCGACAACTGGCCCTTGGAGTCGGGGGCGGGCCCACGCTTCATCACGATGGCCCTCGTCGCGTCCTGCTTCACCACTAGGCGGTCGGCCGCCTGCAGCGTCTCGGTCTTCTCCTTCGGTTGTCAGCCCGAGGAGCGCGCCGTGTGAGATCTTCGAGAAGGGCTTTAACCGCACACTGGCCGCGGCCGGGTCCACGACCTAGACCCGCCCGTTGGGGCAAACCACGGCCCACCGTTTCTTTCGCCGTGCGTCGTGGCAAACTTGGCAACAAGCAGGCACACTAAGCCCGCGGTGCTGTTTTGTTGGCCTTCAGGTAGAAGCGGGTCCATTGTGTGGCCGCCATCCCGTAGTCTACGTGGTCGTCTCGAGCGCAGGTGTCCTCCTCCAGCCACAGCAATTGCGACTAGGGCGTGCCTTTCACCCAGGCGCTCCAGGCCACGAACATGGTCAGCCCTCCAGCACGCCACGGCAAGCCACCGGCACGCGCGGCGGCCCGCGTCGCGCCGAAAGCCGCCCTGCGGGGGCCCCTCGGGAAGACACGATCCCTTCGTTGCGGTGGGAAGTAGCGGAATCCTCAAAGCTCCTCTAGCTTGAATTCTCTTGAACAACAACGGTTGCAGGATAGAGATATTTAGTGATGATCGCCTCCCCTTTCATCGACGCCAATGACATCCCGAGACAGCTATACCCCAGACTTTTCATGGATCGGGCATCTTACATGTACAAACTCCAAAGACGAACACCGACCCACGGGGGTCTGAAGGTTCTGGCGGCCTAAGAAATCGACGAGAGCACTCGCGGACATCCCGTTCAGCGAGCATGAGTACGAGTGTGGACCCATATATGAAATCTACAGAGCTGCGTGAGTTGAAGTTGGCCAACGCGCGTTTCTGTCTCTGGCGCGTAAATACCAGCAAGCTGCGGTGTCCGATCGGCAACCAACATGAAATCGCCGATGTTCGCCTCTTCGGCGGCTCCTGGCGGTCCTCCTGGGGCTCTTTTGAAACGTCTTGGGCCCTCAGTGGCCTCCTTAACAGCATCTTCGGCCTTTTTTGCCGCACACGTGGGCAGACTCGGTGCCGTCTTGGCCTGTCTTGGGGGCCTCTTGGGGGCTTGTTGGGCCGTCTTGGGGGCCTATTGGGGGTTTATTGGGACGTCTTGGGGTGCCTCTTGGGCGCCCCTTCGGCTCCTCCTGGGCTGTCTTGGGCGCTTCTTGGGTCGTCTCGGGTTGATCCTGGAGGCCTTTTGGGCCGTCTTGGGGGCCCAGACGGTTGAGAGCGGGAACAACTAAGAACCCGTCGGAAACCCGTAGGACATCTGCGATTTCGGCTTGTTGGGGCTCTCTAGGGTGTCCCCTCGGAGCCGTCCCGGGGCGTCTTGGCGGCCCATGTTACCGTTTTGAGAGCATCTTGGGCCGTGTGAGGGCCGTCTTGGATTATCTCGGGGCTGTCTTTGGTCGTCTCGAGTCCTCCTGGGGCCATTGCCGTTTTGGGGCCCTGCGGGGGCCCTCAGGCTCCGTTTCTGGGTTTTCTGGCGGGACAGGGAACCGGAGGTCATCGCCAACCCGCAAAGCCTATTGCGGGCTTATTTTAATGGATACACTTGTCTATGCATATAATACATCTACACAGTTTGTGATTAGTATATAAGTTCGTGTGTGCGTATGAGTGTCCGTCTGTCTGTCTATATGTCTGTCTGTCTATTTTGTTTGATTGGCTACATGAATGTAGGTGAGTATGTATGAATGTATATGTGTATGTGTGCATTACGCACGCATGCTTGTAATGTGCACATGCCTGTTTGATTGCATGTCTGTATGCGTGTATATAATGGTGCATGCATGTTTGCATATCATTGCATGTATGTATGAATGTATGGATGTATGCAAGCACGTATATCTCTATGCGTATGCGTGTGTTTCTATGTGTAATGTCGTGTTTGTAGGTGTGCATGTACGTTTGTAGTCATGTATGGATGCATGTATGTGTGTATGTATACATGCACGTATGTATGTATGTATGCATGCATGTATGTGTGTGTATGTATGTATGGGTATGCACGTGTGTATGTGTGTATAAGTATGCGCATGTGCGTGTATATGTGTGAGTTTGTGTATGTATGTATGTTTGTAGGTATGTGTGTATGCAAGTATGTGAATGTATGTTGCATGTATGTATGTATGTATACATGTAAGCATGCATGCATGCATACATGTATGGTTGCAGGACTGTATGTATGTAGATATGTGTAGGTACGTGTGGATGTACACATATAGGTATGCATGTATGTATACATGCATGCATGTATAGGTGTACGTATGTGTTTGTGTACGACTGTATGTGTAGGTTTGTGTATGTGTGTATGTATGTTTGGCTGGCTGGCTGTCTGTCTGTCTGTCGGTCTGTTTCACGCATGTCTGCATTTTTGTGCGCTTGTATGTATGGATGTATGCAGGTATTTACCCATGCGTGTAGCAATGTGAACATGGATGTATGTATATACATATGTATGTAGATACTAAATACTCACATGAACACACATGTTTTCATATCCACCCCGTCGGAGTCGTGCCCCGTGGCCTCCAGGAGTGGTCGGCGCGGATATCTGGCCGCCCATCAGGGCGGGAGAGCATCCATGTCGAGCGCTCTCCAGGGACCCGGGGTTCATGACTCCAGAGCCTTTGGATCTGGATACATCTTGGCGGCGTAGGCATGCGGTTGCCGCGGCTACCAACGCCCAGAGAAGAGCTGGAGGAGGGGTACACATGCGAGTGTGGCCATGCTGCCCCGGCCGGTTCCAACTTCTGTCCGAAGTGTGGACAGGACCGCGACCACGGCTCCGAAGCAGCCTCAGTGCGATCGAGGAGGCTATCCATCCGGGTCGAGAGAGGCGAGTTGTGCAGGTGCGGAACCATGTTCGTCCATGGCGCGCAGTTCTGCCAGCAGTGTGGTGAGGAAAGGTACTTTGGCGAGGTTCCAGACGGTTGTCTTCGCAGTCGCCGATTCAGCAGTGGCCGCGTGGATTTTCCTCTCGAGGGGGCTGGAGGTGGATTCTCGTCAAATTCTGCGGGTTCTGGAAAGAGCAGCATAAGAAGCAGTTCGAGTCGGGGAGCGCTCCTGGAGGAAACTGAGCAACTCGAGCGGGAGCTGCAGATGATGAAATCAGAGAGAGATGAGGCACTTCGCAGATTGGAAAAGCTGGAGCGGAAAGTAGCCGAACGAACTTTGGTGGAGCATGTGGCCGGTGCTTGGATCGACATGGCCGAAAAGTTCTACATTGGCAAGAAGATTTTCTTTTACAAAGATGGTTGGTCGATCGGGGAGTTTTTCTCGGAGCCAAGGCTTCAGTGGGATACCAGTGATGACGAGAAGATCATTCTGCAGGACGGCGAACAGCAGTGGGAGCTCAAGACGACAGTCGGCGACCGGCTGCTAATCGGGGGCTGTGTCAACGGGGCCCGCGTGCAGTTCGAGCTGACCCGCACGGAGTGCATCAGAACAGTGATTGCGCCTCGCCTCAACATTTACGACGCAGTGTCTGCAAGCGTGGGCGACCGTGACCACGACCATGACATGCGGTCGCCGTTCACGGTTCGCGGCTTCGACGCATGGACCGAAGAGGCGGTACTGAAGGCCACGGCGACCGAGGTGGAGGCGTTCGAGGCCGAGTGTGAGCAGGAGGCGGCAATGGCAGAGCTGGCCGCAGAGCGGCTCGGCGAGCTGCACGGGCTGCGCGGGGAGGCGCGCGCGGAGCTGGCGGAGCTCCGGACGGCGCACGAGGAGGCGTCGCTCCGGCAGCGGGAGCAGATGCTGGAGGTCGAGTTCGCCGCGGCTGTGCGGACGGGGAGCCGGCTGGGCCGGCAGGATTCGTGGCTGGGCGGCCAGCTCGGCCTGCACGACGAGGGGAGCGACGAGGAGATGCGGGAGGAGCTCGCCGAGCTGCGCGCCGTCGAGGCGGAGCAGGCGCGGCTCTCGGAGGATCTGCAGCACAGCCGGGCCCGGGAGTGCATCGAGGCCACGAGCGCTCTGCTGGAGCGCCAGGCGGCGCAGGAGGCTCGCTCGGCGGCGGAGGCCCTGGAGGAGCGGGCCGTGGCGCTGTGCGAGGAGCTGCGGCGAGAGGGGCTGGAGCGGCGGGCCCTGCTGCAGGAGCTGCGGGAGTCCAGGGGCTCCATGGCGGAGCGCGAGGCGGGTGGGCCTGCCGAGGCCAGGGAGCTCCGCCGCGCCTGCGCCGAGCTGAAGAAGGAGCTCGTGGGCGTGCGCGGTGCCGAGCAGGAGGCGTACGACCAGCTGAGCCTGCTGGAGAAGCAGGTGGCTCAGGTGCGAGCCGACGCAGCCAGCGACCGGCAGGGTGGCGAGATGGAGGCCGCCGCATTGCGCGCGAGGCTCGAGAGGGCAGAGCTGCTACAGAGGGGCGCCGCGGTGGAGCTGGAGCAGCTGGCCCAAGCGCGGCGAGACGTCGACGTGCTCCAGCAAGAGTGCACTCTAGCGCGAGGCGAGATCCACGACGTTGCCGACAGCACGCGCGCCGAGGCGCGGCGTGAGGCAGAGGCGCTGCGGCACGAATGCAGGCAGATGCGCGCGGCCGAGCAACAGGCGAGCGCAGCTGCGAGGCGGCTGCAGAAGACCCTCCAGGAGCAGAGCGACGCCATCGGCAAGGTGTGGCGAGAGTGCAGGGCGCAGCGATGCGCTTGAACCAACAAGGCTGGCCGTGGCACCACGGTGCGATCTCTCGCAGAGTTCTTGGTGGGCTTGTCTCAAGATGTTGCGCGCGTGTTTGTGTTTGTGTTTGTGTTTGTGTTTGTGTTTGTGTTTGTGTTTGTGTTTATGTTTGTGTTTGTGTTTGTGTTTGTGTTTGTGTTTGTGTGTGTGTGTGTGGGGGGGGGGGGTGGCGGATGTATGTGTGTACCTTCGTCGTACCTTCTGACCCCTTATCCCGATGATGATAATGCCCCTCCCTTTAACCCTTGTATCTGTTTGTCCACGGGATTGGCTGTGGTTCAATCGTCACAACAGGCGGGGAGGCCGCACATTATTATCAACTTCGAAGTTCCTATCGTAGCTCTGATCTTCATCTCATGCATGACACCAGGGATAATCCGCATTATCATCTTTGTCAGGACGTCTCAGGCGAAACGCACAGTTTGTATCATGGAGGCTCTTGAATACCGATATTGAAGATCGGCCCATACATCCTAACATCGATATCTCCAGGAACAACTTAAATATCTTCCCTTGGCCCCGAACTTTATGACCCCCAGGAGATTGTTATCACCTGCATCGGGTTACTGGTCCGCTGTTATCGAAGACGCCTTCAGCGAGTCGCCGTCGCCTCCTGCTGCCAAAAAGCTGGACCTCTCGAGGGCATATGATTTCTTCCACGGCGTCTTGGCGCCTGTCGTGGCCTCGTGTGCTGCTCTTGAGTCCTTTTTTACCTTGATTGCGACCTCCGTCTTGGCCGTGGCTCTATCTGGTACCTCCCGTAGCCTTCGTTTAAGCAGTTCTGGAGACCTCTTGCGGTGCTTTTCGGCTCTTGCGGGCAATCTTGGGACGTCTTAGGTCGGCGTCACTCAAACATACTTACATTTTATGCGCGTTGCCCCCCCAGGGGCGACGCGCGCACCGAGAAATCTTACAGTATATGCGTCGTGGCGGGCGCTTTCTGGCCACACCGCTCGGGAAACGATATACTACAAGGTGGGTATACTATATGTTCGGGTCGGACGCGCGCCTCCAAGGATACCATATAGTACTATTTCTTTGTGCGTCCCATTCGGGCTTTCCCGTGTTGTCTTGGGGCTGTCTTGGAGGCTTCTTGGGCCTTTTTTGGGTTGCCCTGGACCTGGAGGCCTTTTATGGTCGTCTTGAGGGCCCTTGCGGGGCATCCGTCTGGCTTGGGGCTTTCTTGGTCCTCTTGGAGCCTTATGGGGCATTGGTTCGGATCACCACTTTTGCTGGACAATTCGGCCACGCGCAGATGGGTGGGGAGGGCGTCTTAGAAGCACCCCTGCTTCTTAGAAGGCGCGGGCCTTATCAATACAGTAGATGTAGGCCGGTGCCTTCTAAGAACCAGCCTCCTTCTAAGAAGCCCTTCCCCTCCCTCCACCACCTTGTGCGCGCCGCCAACTTATCGGGCATTGGTTCGGATCACCGTTTTTGTTGAACAATCTTGAGGACAAACCTTGGAGCCCAAAACGTGTTGGGACACCTGCAGAGCACAACGTGTTATCACCGAGTCCGGCCGTGTAGGGATTTTATTGACGGACCGACTCACTGACTGTCGCGCACATCACATCGGCGCGGAGGCCGTCCCTAGGCGGGGCGCGCGGCAGAGCCTCGGCTCCATTAACCATGCCTTCTCTTACGTGTAGCACATATTACACTCGCAAAGTAAACTATGTGGCGAGTGTGTTCGTAAAATCACACAATCTCGACCTATGTCGCTCTGCGCGCCTCGTCCCTCCAACGGGCTCCATTATGAGTGCATATGCCCAATGATCTTTCTCCTTTCGAAGCCGTTGGAGACATTTTGTTGCGGCGTCCTGCTGCCCTTAAACCCAATCGAAAGCATGTGATTGACGGCATCTCTCTTTGTTTATTTCTCTTTCTCTGTCTCCAACATCATGCGTCGCTTTCTGAAACCATTCATTCAACGTTTACAGAATCCGGCAATCGTCCTCTGAAGATCTTGACCTTGACGTCGTTGACGATCCCTTTCGTGAGGATCCCTCGTCAATCAGCAGTCGACGACGGCTGCATAAGATCATTCGCACCATTTTCCGCTGCACGCGGCGTACCCTTTCTGCCAGGTCTTGCGTCAGCATCCATGTATGACTGCCATGGAAAAAGATGCCAGAGACGTGCCCAACCTCTGGTCCACGCGAGCAAGAACATGAAAAGGCACGTTCTGTGGACGCTTGGAAGAGAGGGGGTCTCACCGGGGGGGCTGCTGAATTGCAAGTGAGGGGGGAAGGGGGTTCCAATTATGGGGGCGGCCCAAAGCGGGGGGGTCGATTCGCCCACCCCGCCCCCCTGAATTGCAAGGAGTGGTGGGGCCTTCGAGCAGGGGGCCCCCCCCCCTGCAACCGACGACGGCGAGCGCCGGCGCCAGCGCCGGCGCTGTCGGGCAGCGACGAGCAGCGACGACGGCGACGACGGCGACGATGACGACGGTGACGAAGACGATCGGACCCTTAGCAGGATGCTGTTCAGGCTGGATCGAGCCCTCTTGAGATCCTATTATGTTTTTGAGCTGGACCGAGCCGTGCAAACATTCAGTTCGAGCGCGATTTAGCTACATTTCTTTCTACCAGAACTGGATCGGGATTTAGTAAGGTTTTATCAGAGCTGGGTCCTGGTATGGTGGGATGCTATTAGTGTTGGGCCGCGCTCGGCGAGGGTGCTATTATAGTTGGATCCAGTTGTTACAGGAATGAGAGCTTGACCGAGTCGTAGTAGAATCCAGGCAGGGCTGGATCCAGCTACGGTGGGAGTGTATTAGAGTTGTATCGAAAGGACAGCATCGTTATCGAAGTTGGGTTCAGTTGTTTAGTCAAAGTTGTTTGGAGGTTTATTGAACACGAGTCAGATTCTATCCTGGGGAAGGGGGCGAAAACGGGACGGATTCCAACCGATCGGAGCGGATTCCGTCTCATGCTTGTTCCATTTCAGCCGCGCTGGAAGCTTCTCAGAGATTCTTTCGGAATTCCGGAAAAATTGTTTGGAGATTCCTCAAATATTGTTTCAGATATTTTTGAGTGTCCGTGGAGATTCCGCGGGATCCCCGTGAGATGTTTAGGGGTCGTCCGGCATTCTTCAGAGAAGCCGTAGAGATGGCGTGGAGATTTTTGAAGTTGTTGTTCCAGAAATTCTTCCAGGATTATTCAAAGATTTTGCGGGACCTTTGAGAGATGTTTTAGAGATTCTTTACGTATTCTTCAGAGATGGCCTGGGGACTCTTTCGAGTTGTCAGAACGGTTCGTTCGAGATTCCGCCAAGATTCCGTAGGGACCCGTTAGCGTTATGATCGAGATGGTTATATATTACTTCAATTTGATTAAGAAAGTATTGAGAGTATACTTGAGCACGCTTTGAAGATGCCGCAGAAATTCTTGAGAGATGCTTCGCGTCTTCCGTAGAGACGATTCAGATATTCGATTGGTTTTCCGAGAGATGTTTTTGACATGTCTTAGAGATGCCACAGCTATTGCTCGGATGTTCCTCTGGGGCCGTCTGCGATGATCATAGGATTTCTCAAGTATGCTTCGGGGGTCCTCAGAGATGTCCCGGAGTTTTTTCGATTTTGATCAGAGATGCTTTGGGGATTATTTTGACACGCCTCGGAGATTCATCCGACATTCCTCCGAGATTCCTTATACATGTCTGAGGAATGCCCAGGGATGCTTTAGAGATTTCTCCTTCGAGATTGTCTTAGAGATTCCTAACAGATGCCATGGCGATTATTGTGACATCATTGAGGTTCTTCGGGGTTCATCAGGGTCCCGCAGGGGGTCGGTAGCAATTATCCCGGAATTCTTTCGAGATTATTTTCGGATTATGTCAGAATTCCGTAGGTACTTTAATACAACAAAAAATCCAGAGGCGCCTCGGGCGCTAATCCGACACTTGTTGGATACATTTCGAGATTCCGTAAAGATGCCCAACATATTCCTTACATATTCTGAAGAAATTATTCAGGGATTATTTTGAAGTTTTTGTTGGGAGTGGTTAGAGATTGCTCCGAGATTCGTCTAGGATTCCTCGGGATGTTTGCGGAGGCTTCCATTCTTCGGGAATCCGTGTAGTTCTTTGGGATATTTCGTGGTTCGTCCGGGATCCTTCGCAATCCTCAAAGATTCTTCAAGATCTTTTTTGGTGGTTGATGCCTCGTGATTCTTCAGGGAATATACAGAGGTTTTTTTCGGGGCTCCCGGTGAATCTCCAGAGGGTCCCCCATGGCCCGTTGAACTCCAAGTGAATAACACCGAGCATATTACATGATGAAACAATATGTCTGGATCGGCGACTTATCATTTTTATTCATGGAGCAGACATAACCGATCAAACAAATAATCAATCAAATAAGTGACCCGTGCACACTAAAATAAAACACGCGTTCTATTCGTGATACGAAAAAACAGGACACACTATCAATACACCAATTCAAGTAATACGCGAAAATGAATCCGCATACCTCCCACACGAGACATATTGCACGCACCATGTGCGTTTCACACCGCTCCACGCCAGATGACGCCATCCCGCGCGGTTCGATATACAATATAGCACAGGTCGTTTGCACATTTCGCACATGAAGTCAGTGCCCGGCTCCACTTGACAACTCAAGTTTTCATACGTACGGCCTGAGCGTCTCATTCGGAGTTGTTTGGTTTTCTGATGGGTCTTCACACGTCGTGTTGAATATTGTGTTGCTCGGTGGTAGATGCCCCACAGCTGTCACACGGCAACCAAGTAACACGATGTTTTTTTCCAGAAAATCGTAAGACAGATGTCCAGCTCTCATACGCCACCCGTGAGACTCAAGTAAGATTGGCAGCCGCTGCTCAGCTTCAAACGACGCAAACTCCCTGACGCCAGACAGTCAATTAGTGTCAAACCCAACAGTGGTTTTCATGTTGTCTGCCAGAACGGATGTGTATTCTTAAGACGCGCGGTTGATTTCTGAACTGTTCCAGCATGCTCCACGCATGAAGAGGTGGCCTGGGTGGTTGGGATTGGTCGCAGTCGTTTGGGATTGGTCCGACATGCACGCCCCTCCTTCACCGTTTCGACCCCCCCGCAATCTTTTGCACAAGGGGGGGGCGGTCCGACTTTTCCCCGCTTTAAAGCGGTGGGGGGGGGCTCGGTTAGAGAGGTCGATGTCCAGGGAGGGGGGGGGGCCCGAGCGTTCTGAATGTTTTGGCGCCTCCCCCCCCGGGGTCCGACTGACCAAAATGTTTTCCACGGTAAGCGTCCACAGAACGCTTTCTCTCAGAAGCACACGCAGCCAGATACGCACGATTTGCGCTGTCCTCACCTCCGCCGTGCCTCCCAGGATCCCACGACAGTGGCGACAGTTGCATATTTCGCAGACCCCGCGGGAGCAGCGAGGTCTCAAATGGATGTGCGCGGCCTTCATCTCCGCCGTGCCTTCCAACAGCCCACGAAACCTGCGAGAGTTACGCAGTTTGCAGCCCCCGAGGAAGCAGCGGGGTCTCAAACGCATCATCGCTGCTATTATCTCCGCCGTGCCTCCCAGGAGGTGCGCAGCTCGCAGCCTCGCTGGACCTCCCAGGAGCCCACAAACGTGGCGACAGTTGTACAGTTCGCAGCCACCCAGGGAGCAGCGAGGTGTCAAATGGACCCGCGTGGCGCCTATAGACCCACTCCGCTGGACCTCCCAGGAGCCAACAAAAGTGGCGTCAGATGCGCAGCTCGCAGCCACCCAGGGAGCAGCGAGGTGTCAAATGGACCCGCGTGGCCTCCGACTCCACTGGACATCCCCGGAGCCCACGGAAGTGGCGGAGGTTTGCGCAGTTTGCAGCCACCCAGGGAGCAGCGATGCCTCAATTGGATCCGCGTGGCCCCCGGCTCCTCCCAGGAGCCCACGAACGTGGTGACAGGCGAACGTGACATGTGCGCAGTTCGCAGCCACCCAGGGAGCAGCGATGTCGCAAATGGATCCGCGTGGCCCCCGACTCCACTGGACATCCCCGGAGCCCACGGAAGTGGCGGAGGTTTGCGCAGTTTGCAGCCACCCAGGGAGCAGCGATGCTTCAATTGGATCCGCGTGGCCCCCGGCTCCTCCCAGGAGCCCACGAACGTGGTGACAGGCGAACGTGACATGTGCGCAGTTCGCAGCCACCCAGGGAGCAGCGATGTCGCAAATGGATCCGCGTGGCCCCCGACTCCACTGGACCTCCCAGGAGCCCACGGAAGTGGCGAAGGTTTGCGCAGTTTGCAGCCACCCAGGGAGCAGCGATGTTTCAAATGGATCCGCGTGGCCCCCGGCTCTTCCCAGGAGCCCACGAACGTGGTGACCGGTGCGCAGTTCGCAGTCACCCAGGGAGCAGCGATGTCGCAAGTGGATCCGCGTGGCCTCCGACTCCACTGGACCTCCCAGGACCAACGGGTGTGACGGCAGTTGCGCAAGTCGCAGTTTCCCAGGGAGCAGCGACGTCCCACGGAGATCCGCGTGGCCCCCCGCTGGACCTCCCAGGAACCCACGAACGTGGTGACAGGTGCGCAGTTCGCAGCCACCCAGGGAGCAACGATGTCGCAAGCGGATCCGCGTTGCCCCCGACTCCGCTGGACCTCACACGAGCTTTCGAACGTGGCGACACATGTAGACGTTTCGCGCAATCCCACCAGCCCATCCAGAAACGATGTTCCAAAAAGGTGCCCTGATCATGGATGCGGAGGAGAATGCCGTGGAATCAAGCGCTGGGCAAGACATCGTTCCCCAAGAAGGGGAGGATGGAAAAAACATCGGAGGAGGAGGAGGAGGAGGTGGAGGAAACAGGAGGAGGAGGAGGAGGAGGAGGAGGAGGAGGGCGAAAAGGAGGTCCGTAGCAATGTTGGCTCAAGGCTGGAGCGTTTTGGCACAAGACCTGATCATTTGGCAAGGGGGAAGGACGGCCCCCACCAGTGTCCCTTTCGTCTTGCTGATCAGACGAGGGTTTCCAGTTTTCTTCCAACTTTTTTTCTGTCCGTGAACTCATGCAGGAGCATTGCCACCACGATCCCGCCAGCCTCGGCCCTGGCTTTCTGCCCACAGCGGAAGGTTGCACTCGTTGCCTTGGCGTGCGCAGATATAATGTTGACCTTCGTCAGTGTCAGCGCGGTGGTGACAACGGAGCTGGCACCAGCAAGGTACCATGCGCCCAGTGCGTTTGCA